CACGCTGCAGAACAGTCATGGCGTGACGATTCATTGACGTTGCCTCCAGGTAATTTCTTTGAATAATCAGTGATCTCTGAGCTACGAAGCAGCACATTAAGCATTTTGGCGTAAACTTCAAATATAGCGTAAAGATGAGAAACAATATTGCCTGATTAATGGGTAAGGTAGTGCATCGATTTTCCGGACGGTTTCTGATCACAGTATTGGTCATTTTTCAAACTTTCATAGCTTCGCTGTCAAATCGAATTTTTATATTCTACGATTATGGCCTGAATATATAATTCAAGCAGAATATTATGGTGTCAATCCAAATGTGAAAAGAAACACTTCATGATTTGTAGGCAATTTAAATACAGCAAATGAGAAATCTCATGACTTTCTAACGACATCCAAATATGGACGGGGTTAACATATCTTGACATTTGTATACTGTTAATATAATTTACATTAAATACTTCTGATTTCTAAGGACCAAACTATAAAATTGCCTACGGCGAAAGCAAAAAAAGTTCACAAAATATAAAAGAATGAATGAATAAAAATTCAATTGGATTTTTGCGCTTAACATTTGGCTTTCTGGTTGGCTTGGAATCGTTGGTGTGCAAGCCTTCCTTCGTGAACAAGTCGCCATCAGTGACAACATGCTTTCTTGCCTTCTTCGGTGTTCGCGCAGGTACGGTAATGACGTTCTCACGTGCATGCTCTTGAGTTCTGATCCAGGCGGCTGCACCAAGGTCGCTATTGACACAGTTCTTGGACTGCAAGTCGAGGCACTTCGACGAAAACCGTTCTTGAACATGCCTCCAGCATGGCAACGGTCGTGCTGAAAGTCGTGACTGATCAGTTTGTTGAACGCAGTGCCTGCAATCGAGATCGCATTCGATCGCGGCAAGGTGTCAGTGTTCGCTGCGTGCAGGTACGTCGTCACAGCTGTCTTGATGTCGCGCTTGAATGTGCGAAAGATTGCGACGTCCAACGGCTGAAGCAAATGCGTTGCGTTTGCAGCTAAGAAGACCAACACAATACCATACGCTTCGCAGATCATCTCACTGTCTACGCCGTGATGAGAAGAGTAATTGTCTAGGCCAAGTACGGCAGGTCTAGCGGCATGGCAGCGAAGCTTACACTCTCCGAAGGTAATCAGCCAGTTGTTGAAGATGGCTGAGTTCATGAACGCTTTAGGAGCCGTGGTCACAAGCGCGTCATCGACAGGACACTCGTCCAAGACAGAACTCTCGCAGGACTGTCCAGGGAGAATGAACGCCGGGGGAACGAGGGTGCCGTCGGATGCAGCAGCGACGACAATGGTGAGGTGGTACGGTGGGGTATTTTCTTCATACCAAACGTTCTTCGACCCGCGAATGGCGACGACTTTCTTGTTTTGGGACTTTGTCTTGAAGCTCGTTTCGTCCATGTTGTACACATCTGTCGCGGTGCACGAGAATCCCAGAGTGCCTTTGATTGGCGCGTTAAAGTAATGTACAATACCTTCTTTGTTAACTGCGTTGCGACTCTTTGACAGCTTCTGAGCCACGCGGTCAGCAATGATAGGGTTGCGTACACAAAACTTATGGTACCATCCTCGAGTAACGTTCCATGGTACGCCATGGTATACAGCCAAGATCGCGTTCGCCTTGTGGATGACTTCCCCTCGCTCAACCGGCAATCCACGACGTTGCATAGCAGCGATCCTAGCAACAAGGTCCTGCTCAATCGATGAGGGGAGAGCTTGGTGCGGCCCTCGCTTGTTGATGGAAATGGCGCCAGTGTCCTTCTTCATCTTCATGTAGTGGAACAACGTGGCCCTGGAGACAGCAGAGCTCCGGACGACAGCCGCTTTGGACTCACCAGCTTCGACGCGCCGAATCGCATCAATGATTTGTTGATACGTGGCGGGCATGTTTCAAAATGGGAAAGTCAAAAGTCAATGAGTATTTTTATTCAATTGGCGCGAAAAAATTGCGCCAAATATCGTCACTCGAGTTTGTATATAATTACAACCACGAATATTATCATATCCAATCAAATTCACTCAACTCAAAATGCAGAAGTACTATTGGTTAAAACTCAAACCGTCCAGGAATTAGGTACCGTCTAGTTAATCGGTGCACTACCTTAGTTACGAAAACTCTTACGAAAGCCTCCCGGACTTGATTTAATATAAGTACTTGGAGTATTCTATGAAATAGAAGTACCTCGAAACGGCCTCCCGGGCGCTCGGGGCGAACGTATGGCTTGGTCACTACTTTAGGTTTCATCCCACAACTTCATCCCATGTCATCCCATGTCATCCCAATGTCATCCACATGTCATCCACGCTTTTAATTCAACAATTATATTTTATTAACCATAGTATCCAAGGTTGGTATTAATATTCAATGCTGTCCCATAAGTCTAAAATCAGTTACTTGCTAACAGCATTGCCAGTTGCAACTACTACTAGTAATAACGATATCGAAGTACTAAACTTAGTGTGACCCTAACAGCACGGGGGGAAACTAGCCATCGTAAATTAACTGCGCAGTGTGTACTACCTAGTTAGTATCTACGAACCAGCTCCAAATTCTGTCCACCTTGATCCAGCTGCAGTACTCCCCGCGAGAGTGAACCCACTAAAACATTATATCCCACACAACCTAATACTAGTAACATTTTTGAGGTAATCAGCAATAAAATTGTAGAGGCGTTTCAAAATTCAAAACAGACACAAACCACCTGACGAACAAATGCCGTCACCAGCGTCGAGGATTCGGCTGATAAATTGAGCAGAAGAAGGGTCAAGTGGAATACTGTGTGTCAAAGGGATTGAGTTGCGCGAAGGGGTTAAGTCAAACAGGCCAGCGTGGCTCAACTCCATGGTGGACGTCGAGGGCGTACACCCGACACATAAATCCAAGCAGCAACCCCGCACACCAAAGCTAGAAGCCAAACTAATTAAATGTATTCGGAAATGCGAGGAATGGAGCGTCCCCATTGTAAGTGGGCCGACCATCCATCCGTTTCAAAGCTATGCAAATCCGTGACACGATGCTTGCGACCACGACGAGCCCAGCCACCTCCTTGGTATGGATTTTTCGAATGGTTGGCTCTATCGTGTATGAATTGATTAAAAATATGCGTAAACTTTAATGGAACTCAAGTGTACGTTTTCCTTGGTGTGCGTTTTGTCTTTTGCCAGGGTATCAACCCCCTCCTGAATCCGAATTTGATACTCCAGTGTATCCATTGCTACATCAGAAGCCAATCAGGTGTAAGGTACCTTTATTTTAATAACTGTCTTCCTGTGATACCTTTAAAAATGTATGCGCCAGAAGGGTTTACTATCGCGGGGGAGTACTGTATACATGAACAGTGGATGTCCTGACTGCGGACACCTCCCCCCACGGCCCACTCCAACGCGCCACAGCCGGGTCGTTGGCAGCAGCCAGCATGGCAATCATTTTGCGGTGGAAATTTCTGGTCAGGTCTTGATCCGTTGGACGCGCGTCCCACGTCAACTGGACCATCACGGCCACGTACAGCCGCCGCCGATATTTGCCGTCACTGCCACGTTGAGTTGGGGCATCTATTTCCGAGAAGAGAGTTCAAGGAGCTCGGGTTCCTCGACGCATGCTAAGCTCATTACAAAACATAAATGTCAACATTCGTTGTTCATGTCGGTCATACATACCTCGTTAGCAAGTTGTCAAGGGATGCCATGATAGACTTGGATCCCGGGAGCGCGAATGAGATTCAATCACGAAGCTGTGATGCCTGCCGTGACCACGTAAGAAGCCCGAAAGTGTCTGGCGTGACAGAAGTCGCCTCCGGATAATGGGTTTCGTGGAATTTTCGTAACCCCAACCAATTCACTTGATGGTTTCACATAATACAATGAGCAAGATACTTCGAATTAGATTGGTTGGGATTACGAAACTCTGACGAAACTATTTGTTTCGGAGTCCTATGAATTATCCGTCTATTAGTTTCGTAATCTCCAGCTATTGTCATCTTGACAGATAGCATAGATTGCTATAGTACTAACTAGTATGGTGCACGTCATCTAAAAACTTCAACTGGCCAAATCGAAGAGTGGAGGTTTTATTATTTAACGTACAATTAATGTAGTTAAACTAAAAACAACAATACGTTAAATACTGATTTCATGCGTTTTATCATTGCAGTGGGAGATTAAAAGTCCCAACTGCCTCCCGATATTATATACGGATAAGAGCTACATACAAAAATCAAAATACATCTCAGCGGCCACCCCTACCAAGCGCCCATGTAAAATACCGCTAGGTTAAATATCTATTTCTGGACCAATTCATCACCAAATTTGAATCTGACACGTAGAATTTCTTCACCACATTGAGATCTATCCATTCTACGTCTCAATTTGCTGAAATTTTGAGTAATGAATATGAAATAGAAGTCAGAATTTTTTGTGGAAAGTTGGTACTAGTAGCGAGGGAAATCAGTAGTATATTGATGACGTGCACCATACGTTATAATTTTTCAACATTTATATGCCATATTTTTAAAAGTTATGCAACCGTTTTGTGTGGAGTCAAGCAACTCAGCGCAATCGATTGAGGAAGGTGGCAATCCTTCAAATGGCTATTAAAAGTAGTGCACCAGTGCTTCTTCCTCAGGCTGGACACGATTTGATTCTAGCGTGTTGTATGGTGATGATGAACAATGTACTGGCATATCGTTTGAGGATCGAAAAGTTGATCATTTCCCGCAGCCTCCTGTTAATATAGTTTGTCAATGATGCAGGAGATTGCAACGAGCATAGTAGATATCTTCCACTGACAGAATGGATTTGCGTGCTACAATATCGCGGCTGCGCTATTAAGATGCTGCACCATAATAGTTATTCATCAAATTAAGGATGTTTACCACAAACACTACACGAGCGAGTTTGGTCTTCCATAACCAAGTCGGTTGCATGTTTAACCAAGAGGGTTGAATGCTGGCCATGTCGCTTTCATTATGGCACGCACAAGTTTGACTTAGTTCTCCAAGAACCGTTCAATGAAGTCACGAGCAGCGCTGACGCGTGCATAGATACCTGGCTTGTCGAGCGCACCACATTCAATGCCCCAGCTGTTCACCCCCACCAAGCGCACGGTACCGTTTTCTTCGATGGTCATCGGCCCCCCCGAGTCGCTGCGACACGAGTCTTCTCCTTTTACCCCTCCAGCACCCAACATCTCATCGGTCAGTTTGTCGGAGAACAACGCAGCCGAAGCCCTGGTGTTGTTCCAGGTCCTGAGGCTGAGCTCCTTGAGCACGTTCGATTGGGGGCCATCGTTCTTGACGAATCCCCAGCCGCGTACCCAAGTGAGCACGTCCGCCTCAACGAATTCAAACGACACCGCCACAGGTTGGATGTTCAAGATGTTGCGGTTCAAGAGTGCGACGCCCACGTCGACATGACGATTGGGGTGTTTGATTTCCTCGGCGACTTTGGCCAGTTCCCCGTCGTCAAAACCGGTTAAATAGTGTGTGCCCACGACCGCAGAAAGTAGTTTACCACGCAAACAATGCGCCGCTGTCAAAACGACATTGGGGGCGATCAGGCTGCCGCCGCACACGGTCGTACCATTGGGCGACGCTTTGAGCCCAGTCACATAACGGTGCTTGCCGAATTGGGCTTCCTGGCCCCCGAGGATTTCGAAACCGTCGACTGTGGGTGGGACAATTTGGTCTTGATCAAAGGCAACGACGGCCACAGTGAATGCGAGGAGTGCGAACTTCATAATGAAAATTGGAAAATGAATGGTCTTACATCTAGAGCCAAGTCGATCCAATCGTTTACGTCAGACTGTGATTGCACTAGCACACCAAGTACCCAAAGTTAAACAAATGGATGGTTGGGATATGTACAACATATATACATACATACATGCATCGAGCTCTTATCATTAACCCGCTAGGATGGACGAGTCATCTTTGGCGTCATAAATACTAGTATCCAACAACGTGGCCGATCTTCTTGCCAGAAAAAACCGCTACTACATATCTATATATATCGCACTTTCACAGACGAAGGATCCACATGAACACTTACAGCACGGTGGATTGATACACTGCGCGACATACGATCGTACTGTCCGCATAAGCTTGCCTCATTTGTGGTTGTTGATGGTCGAGGTTTTCTAGGCAGTCAAAAATGTAATCACGTTAGTACGACTTTTTGGCGGCAAGTGCAGAATCCACACGAACCCACTGAGCGTTGGAAGAACCGAACTGGGGGAGATGGAGGCGAAGGGTGCACGCGGATGCGTACTATATCTGTGGTTGGATTGACTGGGTCAACATGGTTTCTGAGCAAAAAACAGTTGTGGGACAGACTGGGGGACCGTGTCCAACAACCACGAAGGAGGCAAGCGTTTTCGGATTCCGGTAGTACGATCGTATATCGAGTCAATCGTAATGCAAGTGTTATCAGGGGGCGACGGATTTCAAGGGACTCTTGCTACTTCGAATTTGCCGATTCATCGGAAATGATTGGTTGAATAACTTTGAACTTCGAAGGAAATCTCAATTTTTAGCCAATCACGCAATGACTTTCACAAATTCAAATGTTATTTGCCATAATATTCTGTGCTTCCATAAAACTTCAGTGTCCCTTAAAACCCGTCGCCCTTGTACTCTAATGTGGATCCTTCATCCTTTGAAAGTGCGATACAGCAGCGGGTTTTCCTGGCAATTATCAGCCACGCTGTTGGATACTTATGACGCCAAAGGAGCTCTAATCTAATTCCATAAAACTTCGGTGTCCCTCCGTCGCCCTGTACTTTAATGTGGATCCTTCATCCTTTGAAAGTACGATACAGCAGCGGGTTTTCCTGGCAATTATCAGCCACGCTGTTGGATACTTATGACGCCAAAGGAGCTCTAGTCAAGCTGTTTTCTGTTACAAGTTACATTATTTTTTATCCGGAACTCTGTGCCATACTTCAACCAAGATGTTTTATTTAAATCGAAGGAGATTTTCCAGATTAAAGTGGTCAGTTGGCAGTGATTTGGACGGCTTAACAGTAAAGTGGGGACATTTTGTAACACTGGGTGGAATTAGCTTAAACACGAGGTATTTATTTAACCTTGTAAGAGTATCTCCGTAGCTTCGAAGTGAAATACGTAACATATGTAACAACTAGTAGAAATAAAAACATCGTCTAACACGGTTACAGCAGAAGTACCACTCTTTTAGCCACGTAAAACCGACGCCAAAACTAGTGCAAAGCACAATACTACGTAATACTACAAGATAGCCCATTACTAACTCAGCCTATGCAGCATAGTCTACGCATGCACAGCTCTCTCTCTGGCATAAGGCATCTTACCGAATAATTCCCTCATTAAAATAGTTCCACTGTTGTTTTGACCCGAAATACTGGTACAATGAGGGAATCACTATATCCGGATACACCTTTTCGCCAGTAGCCCTGTAACCTGGGACTCCGTCCTACCCCCGGTGAGTACATACGATGCTAAATCTCCGGGGTAAACTGCATCGCTAGTGGTTAGCGATAGCTAACCACTAGCGATGCACTTAACCCCTAGTAAGAGATGAGATGGTCTGAGCATACAAAGTTCCATATAAATCTCATTGAAAACAGTATTTCGGATCAAAACAACAGTGGAACTGTTTTAATGAGGATGCCAAAAATACAGCCATCTATTTGATCAGTTCCAAGAATTTCAGTCAAAACACATTTGCTTCGTAAAAATCGAGTTACAGCTGTACTGATCATAAACTGAGACGCTAATAACAACTAAACTGTGCGACAAATTCAACTTTACTGTTACAGAAATGTCAAAATACAAAAGTCAAAAACAGCTACACCTACTGTACGCAAAACGCATGATGCGGAAGGCGTCCATTGCAGCTCGATCTTGACGGTTCATGCGGTAGCGTCGTTGAACTTCTACCTTCTTCCGATTCTTTTCGTTGGCCATCCTTTGGTAGTGAACCATGACGAGGCCATAAATGCCTCGTCTTCACGGTGCAATGGCATGAGGGACAAATGCAAATTTGTCAAAGAAAAATTCGTTCGTTGAATACTTCAATGTGTTTAAACAGATTTGCCAAACTTAATCTCCCTAAGTAGTATATATTACCCCACATTCGTCCTGCCTCTACTCAAAAGGAATTGATTTGAGGCAATTCCGTGATTCTATTCATTTTGCACAAGCTATCGCTAACCACTGAGATGCACTTAACCCCTATAGTAAGAGATGAGATGGTCTGAGCATACAAAGTTCCATATAAATCTCATTGAAAACAGTATTTCGGATCAAAACAACAGTGGAACTGTTTTAATGAGGGAATTGTACCATCTTACCCGCATGAACTGTACACGCTTGTTCTTGCAATACGACGAGTTTGGCAAGTTCGAAGTTGTCTTTCTCTACAGTTGTTGATTCAGGCGACATGCCATACTTCAAGTAAGGTACATCATTGGTTGTTGGGAAATGCGGGAACAGGACACAAACACATCACTACGAAAAATTAACAGTAAGGGTCCTTGATTCCTTCAAATTATTATGGTGCACCATTGTCGAGGCGATACATGCAACTTATTGAGTTGTCACGTGGGAGTCAACCAGGAACTGACTGTGAATCTGCCACTTCGGCGGAGCGCGCGACAGTTACATATTATTATTCGCTTGAACATATTTATGTTGATATTTGTATTGAGTATGCACATTTCTATTTAGCCCCATAATTATGTACCTTTTGCAAAACGATTTATTCATCCTGCAGATTGTGCATGCGTACCGGTACTGTGCAGGTCAGCGATTTCTCAATGCATACTGCGCAACTCGTCACGAAAGTCTCCATTCCCGATAACAACAACCAATACTATCAACAACACGTTATTTCATGTCGCCTGAATCAACAACTGTAGAGAAAGACAACTTCGAACTTGCCAATTCGTCGTATTTCAAGAACAAGCATGTACAGTTCATACGGGTAAGATGCCTTATGTAACCTGGGACTCCGTCCTACCCCCGGTGAGTACATACGATGCTAAATCTCTGGGGTAAACTGCATCGCTAGTGGTTAGCGATAGCTAACCACTGAGATGCACTTAACCCCTAGTAAAAGGTAAGGTGATCTGAGCATACAAAGTTCGATATAAACCTCATTGAAACAGTATTTCGGGTCAAAACAACAGTGGAACTGTTTTAATGAGGGAATTGTGCTACGAGTAGTATTGCTGTACTACTGTAGTACTGATAGTAGGTATTAGTAGGTATTATTGTGCTTTGCACCTTTTTTGGCAATTCCAGGGTTAAATTCATTGTTTAAAAATTTCTCAGGCTTAAATAATGTCTAAAGTAACTTGAATAACGGTTGGGTGCGTTGTTTAAAGTTACTTCATCTAATGCGATGATTGGTTGGTTGAAGGTGGTTTTACTGGCACTTTCGTAAAACAAGTTGTTTGCCGTTTTCATTCTGGCAAACAACTTGCTTTACGTCAACATGTCAAGGTGCTTGACGCAATGAAA